AACGCTCTTTTAGCTAATTCCAATTTATAGTATTTTGTGCTGTTGCGGAAAAAACGCAGCGTTCTTTAGTTTCTAATTATAGTATTTTGTGCTGTTGCGGATTTTCGAAACGTTTTTGCTATTACTGCGCCTGTTGCGAAATTTTCGACACGCCGTTACTTTTGTATTACTGAGCTAAATTCGATGTGTTTGCTGATTGCGGAGGCAAAGATTTTATCATGTGACTTACTTATCTGATTCATCAGATCAGCTTGCCGTAACAATTGGCAGTAGAAAATAAACTAACGAGTGATGAAGTAATGGAAGGAACTTTATTCATTGCTAGTATAAATTGGTTGTGGACAAGTAATATCTTTGAATTCATCTCTAACAAATAGGCGAATATTATGATAAAGATATTCTTATCTTTTGTAATCCAAAGGAGGATGAGGAGGAGTTAGTACTAGGATAGAAAAGGCTTGATTTCTTTGGTAACTTCAGAAACACTTGCTTTCCTAGTTTTCAACAAATTAAATTCAGTAAAATCACCATTAGCAACCAGCTGAGCTTGACAATTCCAGGATTGGCTGCTTCGAATACAAAATGCTGGTACTTTTGTAAACCACTCAATTTCTTAAAGAAAATCCCCAATACAGAGTTCAGATCTAAGTATTGAAAGCCTTCTCCATTTTTATAACACTGAGCCTTGTTTAATCCCGCTGTACTCAATTTTTTCACAACCTCAACAATATGATTCACACAATCTATGGTTATTTTTCTATAGAACTTTTTAATCAGTCCGAAACTACTATTACACTTGAATTTAGTATGTCCAGGTACCATGAAATTAAGCTCAACACCTTCGTAATAACCGCAAATTACCAAATATAAATATAATCAGTTGGTGGCGTTATTTTTATCCTGTCCTCCTGCATTATCACAAGTAATTTTTAAATACTTTTCACCTTTATTCAATCTCTTAATTCCATCAAATACCATGCTCAGTGTGCCATTAGGTCCTTTACCTATTATTTCGTTCTCATCGAGGATGTAATTAATTTGTTCGCGTACCGCTTCATCTTGAATACCAAATAAATGCACTTTACGCGGACTAAGATAATGAATTTTACTTACCTGTTGATCAGAATGTGGAACGTGAACATTTTGTGCTCAACCATAACTGTAATGAGCAGTAGCATTAAGCTACAATAATTAGCTTTACCTCCTGTTTCAGCGTAATTATCATTTACCAATTTTCTCTGTTGTTCTGTTAATTTCGTATTTTTGTTGTAATAATTTCTTTCTAATTTAGCCTTCTTTGTATTTTTTCAGTAAATTTTTTGCTGATTTGAATATAAGGCGTTAATTGGTGCCATAACTTGCGAAACGCATCATATTTCAACGCGCTATTGTTTTCGAGGCCTGCAATAAAATCGCGATAGAATGATTCATAACTCGTTTCGGCTGGCAAAAGTGTAAGCGATTGAGTAATTCGATTTACATTTCTACCAGGACTTGGTAATCCATAAATTTCAGCACAGATATAGCAATGGTTATTTTAGTTTCCATCGTGGCATTCGCTTTATGTTACCATGAACACGCGGTATCATGCCATTCGTAGCTAGGTGGTTTCCAACGTTTTCGAAGTGCGTGCGACCAATTCCTAACATATTGAGATACGTTTTCTGACAAAGTGGCGTGTTGCGATTTCAATAATAAAAAGTTCTCTTATTAGTACGAGTTTCTTTTTAAGACGTCGACTGGCAGTTGTTTCTCCACCATTCATCGCTTTCAGCTGAGCCATTAAAAATATTGTTCGGATCTAGAGAGAGCTTGAAACGCTTCACGTAATTCGGCAAACTTTTCTCCGAAATCCAAGAACGCATTGCTTTTTCATATTCAGTCGAACTACTATATTGACTATTTTTCATATACGGGTAAGCCTATATATAAATTTTATGCTTCACCAGTTTTGGCTGTCATTATTATATATGTCTGGGATCCGCGTACACCCTCTCTTAAAAGTCATATTTATATAACCTCCCACTTTCTTCGATGTGATTCTGAAAAGATTTCATACAGTATAACAAAACGGCAATGGTTATTTAGATTCGCTTTTACAACGACAAGTGATAGAAAAGCGCATGTCTGGGACGCATGCGTCAAATATGAATAATGCGACTGCATAAAGAAAGCAGTGCGCGACGCGAATTAAGTCATACCAACTCACTTATACATTTTCAGTCAATAGTAATGAAGAAAGAATGATAAATACACTTTATTCACTAATTCAGGCTGTTGCTAAATGGCGTGATTTATAACACAACATGGGACTATTAACCAAGACTATGAAATCCAGAAAGTTATCAAAAACGAACCAACAGAAAACAAAATTTATTCGCCAGATGTCGAAACGTTGTGGGATCTAAGACAATTTTACGACAAAAGAACCGAATCAGATCCAAAATTTTCATTTAGCAAAATGATGCTTGAAATCCACAAGTTACTTGGCAAAGGAAAGGTTGTTGCTGCTTCCACAATACGAAATTTTTACCTACGGAGAACAAACCCAAGGAAGAACACCATTAAGGCAATTCAACGTTGGATTGATGAAGAGAAGAAGGAAATTGTAAATCACGAAGATGATGAAAATGAAAATAAAGAAATAGATAATAGTGATGATAATATTTTTATTAATGATGATAATAATAAAGAATATAACGAAGGTTAGATTTGCACCAGAGTGACCGAAGGATAGGTTATACTCATAAATGGCTTTGGGTTCAAGTATTTTCCTCTCATGCAATCACTCTGGTACTTTCAGTATTATTTATATTTCAAGAGTGCGCATTCAATAATTAAAATAATAAAATTTACACTTACGAATTGATTTGACTCATTGATTGCAATTGTGTCGAAAGAGCAAAATGCGAACCAAAGCTTAGCGAATGCATTCGAGCATCTTTTATTAAGACCATAACAATAAGGAATTATTTTCGTTGATAGTAGGGAGGCCTTGGAAACTTTACATTAACTACTTTCCTTTACATTTCTTCGAGTTTTCGTTTTTTTCTTGGTTTATTATAAGTTGGCATACTCGTTTATTGTTTATTATTTTTGTTCTTCTTGATAAATTTCATAAGTAATTTTTTTCTTTATCGAGATATTCCTCGAGAATTTTGGTATCATTGATTTTAAAAACATATGGAGCAATGTTTTCTCCTTGAGCTTTTTTTAAAATACTTCTAATTGTGCTGTAATTCTTTGGTTCCATGGTGGATTTAATGTAAATTAGTTTCATATTTATATTTTTATATAGACATAATCCTATATTAAACATGTTATTGACTTCATATTTATCTCAGCCAGCTCTAATGTTAACAAGTCCACAAATTATGCATGAGCACTACTATTACTATTACTATGGCAAAGCCTTTTCAAAACGTCATCAGTTACATTATAATTAAACAATTTACAGCCACATTAAACGTTTTTAGCTCAATGTTCACTTTGTCTGGTTTTGTTGCCATATAAATATAGCCCAACAAGCAAAGGATAATCCTAGATCACTTCATCCACTTCAGGTGCCAGTACCAATTCATGGAAATAATAATTTATGTCTCCTTCAATCACAGTCAAAATTATCTTCTACCCAATTAGTAAATCAACAATCAACTACTAGTACATCCACATATCAACAATCACCCAATGCTTCGGACAAGCTACAGAATTTTGCTTTTACAGTCGAACCTCGTTTATTATTATATCCCCACTTTGGGACGGGATATATGTGTGTGCAACGTTATTTAAAGCATGCAATTTTATTGGTTAATAAAGTTTGGCGTTTTGACTTTTCTACTACTACTGAATCGTCTAAGCGTCGAATTATACTACGTATTAGTATATATTAATATCATATGCTTATTTTACAGCCTGATTTATGTGGCCTGATTTATGTGGCCTGATTTATGTGGCCTGATTTGCGCTTGATTTGTCTGCCTGAATTATAATCCGGAATTTACCTGCCATGTCGCACAACCTGCAAGTTATCAGAGATGGCTAAATAGAAATATTGTGGGCTGTACGACGTGTCAGGTTGTGCGACCTGGCAGGTAAATTCCCGATAATGCCTGAATTTATTAAAAGTGGCATGATATTCAAGTAAATAGAAATGGCATGATATTTTGTGTAACACGTGTCGTAGGGGATAGAATAGGGGATATAAACGTGGCGCACGATCATAATAGATTATTATTATAGGGCAGACCATAGAATTTTGATATATATCTGAGTGGGATACAAACGAGGTAGGACTGTATCTGCTATTTGTGATTCTGTGATAGTGACTATAAGCAAGTTGGAACTGTAAGGGTGTGACTGTAACCCAATTGTGCTTATAGAGGGGGTGACTGTAGAGAGGTTGACTGATAGAGCCGACTAGAGTTAGATTCACTCTTATGCAAATAGCTAATTATAATAGGTCCCAATTAGGGACTGGGCTCTTTTATGCAAATGAACAGATCAATGAATCAGTTCACAAGATGGCTCGACGTAAGTCAAACAGTGACAGGTTTACATTGCTTAGGAGGCTAAATTAAACCTGGTAAGTGCGCTATGCTATTCAATAAAATGAGAGACAAGTAGATAATGCGAGTCTGTGTTATATTAATCTATGATATCAATTGTCTTTCGCATAGTTTTGGGTAAAAGCCATCGGAATTATTCACCACACGAGGCTATATATAGGTCAACTCTTTTGGGAACAAACATGTGTGGACCAGAATAGGTTTGTTCAACCATTTAAGTTGCCTATTTAAATTATTTGCTGCGAGAACGAACAAGAATCTTTCTCACCCAAGACCGTAATTTCTAGTTGCGCATCACAAACACTGCATTTGTGACATCATGTGTTGCCTTAATCTTTACAAACTGATGTGGAGTGACAAATGCCAAGCCTATATAAATTGGTATCGATAAAACCCCATCCAAAGAACTCATCGTCTAACTTAAACCTAATAATTATGGGAATTAATACTCAACCCGATCAGAGCGACATAACTGAGGATAGTTTTCCTTCAGGTAAAAACAAACCAAGCATGCTGTAATCAGTTTATTACTATTTATCGTGTAGTAAGATTTGACATCTTATTAATACTACTACTACTACTCTCTTGAATGCAATGCCAATGATTGTGTTTTTACTTTATAGGCTGGTTTTACATAAAATCTCAACTGAATAACCGCGTTCTCGAGCCTGCGAGTATGTCGGTAAACAATGATGCTACCATAGTCATCAAAGAGCAGCGTTTTGGTCTCGATGCTGACAGTCAGGTAAATTACTGCGTCATGAGTGATTTGATTAAACGTAATAATGACCAACATCATTTCCATAGTTATGGTCATTCGATAATGGCTTTCTCGTGAATAAGGCATCCGGCAAAGTATTAGAAATTAAAGGAGGTCTGTGCTGTAGTATTTATTTATTTTATTTTATTTTATTATTTTTATCCTTGTTTCGATTGATCTTTCTCTACTTGTCAGGCCATATTCGCCGACTTCATTGGACATATATTTGTCAATGGGACAGACGCTCATCACCAGCCCCGCCTACTCAACTATGGTATACTTGTAATAGTTTTATCAACACAAAAACCGCAGATAGCTATGTAATTGAAATAATGGATGACTCGGTTGTGGTTTGGAAACAGAAAGATAGTGATAATCTTAATCAGCAATGGACGTTTGAGCCCATGGTGGCGGTAAAAGAGAGTATAATTGATGACTTTGAATGCGGTGTAGAAATGACGAGAGAGAAGTGTAGCCACTTGGTATTTGTGAACAGAGCACATAAGATTGGTACGTATCATAAATTGTAACAATTGCGCTTAGTAATGTTTATTACAGAATACCGATTTTATCTTGTTGCAGCCATGTCAAGTGATTCAGAAAGCTTGCACAGCGAAATTATGGCCGGAGCAGCAGCACATAAAGCTATAGAAGCATGGGATAAGAAAAGAGAGAAAGAGGGCCTTCCTCTAGCCGATCCTATATATATAGAAGTGCTAACTTCAGTTGCACAAGACAATGTTAGTAACAACCAACATAATAATAATACACTTTGAATATTTTTCACTTTGGCTAATGTCTTGCATTTCTATCCGCAGGTTGTGGAATTGGTTAAGAATGGCAAGAGAAAGGCCAGGAATGTAGAGGTCATACAACGAGATGCCGTCCAGTATGCTATCAAAGCCTATAAGCAGAAACATTGTTTGTAAATAAACGATTGTATTTAATGTTAACGTTTATCATGTAATTCACGTGACATTTCACAATCAAAAAATAAATTCAAAAGAAAAAAATTTTCTGTAAAACTCTTTTAATTCGTACTCACAAAACATGGCACCAAGATCAGGTATCGCCGTGGGTTTAAATAAAGGACATGTCACTACAGCCAGAGAGCTGAGAGTTAAACCGTCGAGGCAAAAGGGTGTACGTATCATGTTTATAAGAGTATAACATGGACTGTGGGTGTTGATCAACTTACTACAGGACGTGCATTAACAGTTGTGTGAAAATCTAACTCTAAAGTCTCTAATTCGTCGCTTGTCTACCCGATCTATTTTATGACAAACGAGCTAATGTTTATGATATTACTTTTAAATGCCTAACAGCAACTAGGACAACGTGTTAAATTCGTGCGTGACGTTATCCGAGAAGTAGCAGGATTCGCACCATATGAGCGTAGGGTTATGGAATTGTTAAAGAATTCCAAGGATAAGAGAGCTAGAAAGTTGGCTAAAAAGAGGGTAAGTTAGTGACACCTATATCGCTATCGATATGTGTATTTTACTAATCCAGTGTTTATGCACATGTTCTTGATATCGATTCGATTAATCGATCGTTTTCTGTTTGTCGTATTCGAACGAATTGCTAATTATGTTATCACTTGGCATTCTAATAGCTCGGGACTTTCACTCGAGCCAAAAGAAAGGTCGAAGAACTCAGTAACATCATTGCCGAGTCCCGTCGTGCTCATTAGTTTCATATTGGGTTCCGTACAAGTGAATATTTATCAGATTGTATTTACTATTCTGAAGGATATTAAAATTACTCGACTGTCCAAATTGCAGTGCATAAGTAGATCAAGCATTATTGTTTATTTAGGAACGCAATTAAGAGTAATATAATAACCGTATTTCCCAATAATGTATAATTACAAAAAGCCATCTCCATCTCGTCAACAAAAACACTCTTATTTCTCATTATAATTGTTAGTCGCCTTTGAATTTCTTTTCCAGACACCCGCTACCGAAGTTCTACCAGATCTGAGATATCGATATAGATGTGCAGCTATGCCTAATGCAAAACCTTGCAAAAATGGTTTCAATATATGGTCTTTAATTATTCCCACGATGATTTCTCTCGTGTTTGTGCCTTCATTTAGCTGAGCCACAAGAGATTGACGATGTTGAGGTTGGAATAGAATGTTGACTTTGCCACGAGGTTGTGACTTGTCCACGGGTATCGATCTCGTCAAATGTGTATCGCCCGCATGAGCTATATTTGTATTAAAGACAGTATTAGGGTCAGCAGCCTCGGGCAACTCTAGAACAGAAGAAGATCCAGGGTCTCGTCTGCTATTGCTAAAACCCGACACATTGTCATTTCGACCTTGCGCATTACCTTCGCCAGGTATGAAACTCCTCGTAATGACAGTGGGTGTAAATTGTGGTGACCTTTCTTCCCCTCTGCTTTCCCTCATCTGGCTTTCACTTTCGCTACGTGATGTATGTATAATAACATTATCGCCATCCTCTTCCTCGTGCGAGCCCTCCAGTGATGATGCTGGGGATACGATGACCGGCGAGATGGTTTCTGCGTTAACCATGTGTATACTACCATCGTCTGATGCGATCGACATCTGGGAGGGAGAATCTGGAGGTTCGAGAAAGCCTGAAAGTGAAGGCGAAGAGGAGGATGTTTCTGATTGAGCAAGCATCTGTGAGATGTCTTCAGATTCAGTAACAGTAGTTGATGCGTTGTAAATCGTATCGATTCCAGGAACAGTAGTCGTCGCAGCAGTAGCGGAAGAGGCGTCGTCGGCCGTTGTAAATTCGTTTTTTTCTCGAGTTTTCAATAGTTCCGTGCTCCCACTGGCTGACGACCAGCTGACACTGTCTGTAAGATCATTCTCGGTCACCGTTACAAAATTTCCTCCCGCCGCTGAAAGACTACTAACTGACGAATGCGGATTTTGCTCTCCATTATCGTCCGCCATTGTATTTCACGGACTAAAAGACAAGTACTGTACTACCCAGGCTCGTTGAATATGTTCAGTATGTTACACATGATACTTGTAAAGTAGGCTGACATCACCTGTCAATTTTAGCATTACTATCAAATACATTGATAATGGCTGGAATAGAATATACTAATAAATAGTAACTTGGAACTTTTTATTAATCTTTTCTTGACAGAGAGCTATTTAGCCTGACTGGGATGCAAACAATGAGACAAGAACGTTGTTACAGTGGTGTCGGTTAATAAAATTAAAATGCGTAAGAATGTTGTTTGATTGATAGAAAGCTTTTTATTATAAGTAATCGTTATCTACGATAATTCGCTTTAATATCGTTTACATAACCATATTACAGTATCATGGTTATTAATCGCATAAGTCCTGCTGAAGTTAAAATAAATCTGTTCATAAACGTAGCATACCTCAGCAGAGTTGAATTGCTAAATACTATGTAACGAATTTCGCAAATGTGTGGCTGGTTTTTTTTTAAATCGGCTACTGTATCATATTTCCATACTCGGCAAATCTCTGAATTAACTGCTCCTCAGTCTCAATATGGCTGCAGTGCTTGCTCTCGACTATCATTCTTCTGAATTTGTGTAATCACATTCCGTGTCCGACTGATGATGTCGTTGCATATACGTCCCTCCTCTAATCGCTCGCCACAAACAGTTTTCTTATGGCAGAAAGTTGACCTTTTTGTGTCGGGTGGATACTTTATTAGTCTCAATACAGAGGACGGTGGAATATTATGGTTCTAAATGACAATGTTATCATGTTTGTTCTATGATACGTAAATTTTTAATTTTTATATTTGTTAATATTAATCCAACTTGATTACATTTGAATGTGATGGAGTATAAAGCCTCATGCTTTTTGAAGCTGTTAATGCTGCTAACAGCTTATGTCTAGATAATATATTATACTACGTTGATGTAGAATAAGACTAATAAAAAGACGCGCCCATTGTTACTGATGAAACGTATGAGTATTAAAAAAACTATGTGACTTGTAATTAGCTAAATTTTTTATTTGTGGAAATGACAAGAATGTCATTCTCCACCGTCTTATTATGTAATTTATAAGCAAAAAATTTTTTCTTAAAAAAAAAAACCAAGTCTATTATTAAAACAATTATAGACCTCTATTACGTGGACGCAACGCGCGTACGCATATAAATATACAGCAAGACACAGCTTGGCCAACAACACGCGCATGTATCGTTTCACTACTAAACGCTCTCTTCTCTCAAGCGCACACGTATTGCAAAACCCTCCTTAGCTACAACGCACAAGGCTTGGCTCTCTTCCACGACAAACCAGGTCCGGTCATTTCCCCGACAATTTATTTCTCCGACAGTTTATTTACTGACAATCATTTTTCCGACAATAATTTTCGAAGTTACGTGTGCCTTTTGATCTAGGTAAAATGGACTAATTTAGGTAAACTAGATAGTATTTGCTCAAACTCTCGGCCAGAGGTAAACTACCAAATATTATTTCGCATAGTTGATATGAACAGAGCCGTGGCATAGCACGTATATGGCTGGCACACTTGCGTATGGCAAGTTTATTTTCGTTGTTGGATGCCGTTAAACTTGCACCATTGCGGGGCCGTTAAGGCTATGAAACAACACCGCGATATGTCTTTGAGGGTACGTGAGTGGATTGATGATTCATCACTTGCGTAATACCGTGGAATGACCAAAGTTTTAGTTCTTACAGGAATTTCGGATGTGTGCTTCCTGATATTGTTTTCATACCCAAACCAGTTCTTTTCCAAATGGCCCCATGCAGTTGGATTAACATCAAACACAATACCAATATCATAAAACAATAGTCTCAAAAATAAATAATGTATTGTATTTTCTTACATAGTCAAATGATCTACCCCGGAAAAGGCAACTAACAGTAAATGTGCACGATTTTATTTCAACATCCTGTTATATTGACATATGTGGAAGCATATAGTATAATTGGAAGAGGAGTAAATATTTGAACAAAACTCGTATAAACTGTAAATAAACCCGTTGAATTACAAGTTCGTTCAAAAAAGAGGTCGAGTCTCTAAATTATAAGAAATGCACAGTATTAATATTGTAAATTGACTTTATTTGTACCAACGTGTAACCATACCTGCAGCTGAATCCATATCATAGCTATTTCTTGGT